GGATAAGATGATTGTTTTGAAGTAATTAAGACTGAGAGATAGAGCCTTGTGCTATGAAAAAGAAACTTGGAATTTTGGTGGCTAGAACATACAAGAAAGGAAGACAGTGAAATAAAATAAAAAATGGGGAAAACTGCCTTTGTTGTGGTTCATCTGATTCAGGGATAAATAATATATATTTATGGCTCCATACCTCTTCCTCACTACTTTACAGGAGACATGGTAGGCTGAAGTTCACCTCTGTTTACAAATATGCATTACTTCCTAGTTACAAAGGGATGACTGGCATATCTGAATGAGCCTTTAGTTAAATACCATGATAGTAGTAGTTGTTGTTATTATTATTATTATTATTGTATTATTCCATATCACTTCCTATAATTGAAATAAATGTGCCTATTATAAAAGCATGGTATAGATGACTTTTTGCAAGAAGCTTCAGTATTTTAATATTTAACTATACTATTAATTCTCAACATTGTTTCCCTTAATTGAATGTGACTGCCTCCATTTAATCAATTAAAATACAATTGGCAAATCTACTTACTGAAAACAATTAAGCTCTACAGCCTTTTCTTTTAAGTTTCCTATTGGAAATCTTTTATTTATTTATTCTGTTGTAGATGATCAAGCAGAGCATACAAATGTGTAAAATAACTGGCATGGTTTAGCTCAGAAATAAATAACTAAACCCATGCGATTGGGTCTGTAATCATGATGCTAAGTATGATTGGGTTTATTATGCTAATATTTTGTAAATCATGTTTTAAAACTTTGTGTATAGTGTGAATACATCCAGCTATGGTTTATTAAATAATCACGATTAGTTTGGTACATCTTATGTCCTGGAAAATGAGCATGGGAGTGAAGCCTTAGCTTGTTTTTTGGACATGCAAAAATGAAATACTTTCATCTGCTTGCCCTAGTAATATATTAGTATTCCATTTAGCGCAGGATTATTTTTAATGAAGAAAAAACTAACTTGTTTTATAAAACAATACTGAGGTTAGTTACTCAATCCATATTCCTTATTTGCATGAACATTTGAAATATAGTTTAGTTACTTAGCTGTCAATAGATATTATGTTATGCTAAAGTATTTTTTTCATAAAGTGTAGAAATGATAGTTATATCTAAATCATATAACTATTGCAGAGCTGTTTTTGCATTCGAAATACAAGCACATCTGTGTATTCAGTAGAAACTAAAATACAGAAAATAAACTCTACGCACTGTATAATAGTCTTACGACATGCCAGTCAATGCCTCCATATTTCAGGAAATATGAATCTAAATGAAGATACTGAATTAACAAATGCACTCGAATTCCTAAAGGGCTGCTTCTTGGGCAGCTACATCCAGAATACAGACAAAATTTTGAATAGAAACACACAGTTCAATGCTGTCTTATATTGAATTATCTTGAATGTTGGATATTAGTTTTGCTCAACTTTACTATTAATGCATAGAAACATGCCTTTGACAGTATCTTGCATGTAAAGGACACATTGGGCTGGATGTATTTGTCATATCATGGAGGATAAAGAACTTGACTTTTAGATGTATAATTTCCTTCTTTGTATTTTTAAAGGCATTATTCACATGGAGACTCTGCTTGCCAGTATTGTATTTGAGGAATGTCATTCAATATATTTCATAGAGAACATACTTGAGAAATATTTCAAAGTTTACTGTGGAATAGTGATGTATAACCCAGAGTTTGTATGTTTGCGTGTTTGATAATTCAACTCTAATCACCATGCAGAAATGGAAGTGCAAACAGAGGTTGTATTAAGCCAGTTCTTACAGATTCTGGAGAACCGCTGGTTGAGTAGTTTGAAGAACTGGCAAATAGATTGGCCCTGTCCCCGCTTTCCTCCCAGCTGATGATCTTTTGTTGCCCTGAACAGAACAGAGCTGAAAAGCAGGTTAGTCGGGTGGAGTGGGAATGGGGATTTTGCAGTATCCTTCCCCTGCCATGCCCACAAAACCGCGCTCACAGAACCGGTAGTAAACATTTTTGAATCTCACCACTGAAGTGCAAGTTTTCTCCTGAGTTATTTTTCACTAAATTCAGAACTCATGTATCAGTGTAGTCTGTGGTAAAAATTTTATGAAATGATTTAATCCACTAAGATTACCTTTAGTTTTCAAAATGAAGAAAAACCATTCTGTGTAAATTATGCAGGTGAATTGTACACAAAATTTCTTAAGTAGTCTCAGTAGAAATACATCTGTTTGTTTTAAAATAAAAATACCCAATAAACACAGAACATGTATACACCCTTTGATTTAAGCAGCAGTGATTATATATGTCTCTAAATCTTAATACAATATTTTTTACCTCTGCGATGTACCTTGGTGGGAAATTGTAGGTTTTCCTTGTAAAAATTGTTGAACCAGTCAACAATTAGAAAAAGGATCCTAGGCAACCACTGGTTAGAATAGAAAATGCTGGCTAACAATGAATAATCTGTGTATAGAAAAATTTCTGTATTCTGACATATTTTTGACCTGTAACTATTTTTCTCCTTTCATTGGAATCAAAACCAAAGATCCAGTGAAATTTGCAGCTTGTTTTGTACCTCGGGCTCTCAAAACATTGCAGCTCCACTTTAATTTAAAACTGTACGATGGAAAGAGATATTGTTTCACTGATTCCTAAATGTATTTTATTTGGACCTTAATTTCTTTAAAATTTAAATTTAAAATCTTGAAAAAGTCAAATAGTAAACTGTTTAATAGCCTATGGAATTTATAAATATGCTATAATTGGAATCCTATACATCAAAGAATCCTATAGATGACCAAGGTTCTAAATGGCACACGTTTTTGGGAAATAACCAATTTCATTGTTGTACAATGACCAATTTCATTGTTGTACAATGACAATAAACATTATACTTATACTTAAAGACTATAAACTGCTAGGATGTGGATTTTCTAACATCAGAAGAATGTCTTGCGTGTTCTATACTTAAAATAGAAATCATTAGCATAGTGGCAGATAATAGTGAGATATGAAATGGCATGAAAATAAAATAACATTAAGAACATAAATATTTGCTTCAATTACAGAGACAAACATCACATTCCGAATACCTTCTCCTTGTCCCCTTTTATGTAGTAGAAAACGTTTATTATTTGCTGCTTAACAAGATAACATGACTAGTTTTTGCCAAATAAACAAATTAGTTTTCTGTTCATATAAATCCAAATCTAGATCAAGAGGGCAGAAATTCTGTTCATGGCTGCTCAATGCAGAAAGCTTAGTTAAAGTATCCCAACAGATGATTCCACAGTTCCTGCCTGAATAAAAACTACTCTCTCATTAGGAATTGCATTACTAATTCTTTTTCTTTACACTGCATCAAATGTGACTTTTGACAATTTACCATTTTTATTTTTTTGCAGTCTGATGGGATCAACAGCCAGGCCAAAAACCTATTGGTAAAAAATTGTACTATGTAAAAATGTTTTTAGAAACTTCTACCTATTTCTACATAGCAGGTAATTTGCTTTCCTAGGTTTAACTTTCTTGCTTAATAACACACAGCCTCTCGATAATTGGGATGGGAGTGGAATGGTTAGAAAAGGGAAGTCAAGTCTCATGTTTATTACACATACAGGTACTTGACTTACAAGAGTTCATTTAGTGACTGTTCAAAGTTGCGATGGTACTGAAAAAAGTGATTGACAGTTTTTCACACTTGCCACTATTGCAACATCCTCACGGTCGCATGTTCAAAACTTAAGACACTTGGCAACTGGCTCATATTTATGATGGTTGCAGTATTCAGTGGTCATGTAATCATCTTTTGCAGCCTTCTGACAAGCAAGGTCAATGGGAAAGCCAGATTCACTTAACCACCATCTTCCTAACTTAACTACTGCAGTGATTCACTTAACAATTCTGGCAGGAAAGGCAAGAAACGGGGCAAAACTCATTTAACAACTACCGCATTTTTTGGAGTATAAGACGCACCTTTTTTCCTCAAAAAAGAGGCTGAAAATCTGGGTGCATCTTATACATTGAATGCAGTAATTTTTGCCTCCCGAAGCCCCGCCCCCTTCACCAAAATGGCCGTGCTTAGCCTTATGGAAGCTTTCAGAGAGCTGCTGGGGGTTGGGGAGGGCAGAAATGAGCAAAAAATGGGCCGTTTTTGCCCCCCAGCTCCCAGCAGCACTCTATGAGCCTCCATAAGGCTATGAATGCAATTTTTTTGACACAAAACAGGCCCATTTTTGGAAAAAAACGGGCTATTTTTTTCCTCATTTTTGCCCTCCCCCTCCCACACCCCCAGGAGCACTCTGCAAGCCCCCCCCCAGGCTATTCTTGCTTTTGGGGAAAAAACAGGCCCGCTTTCATGAAAAACGGGCCTTTTTTGAGAGGTTTGCAGAATGCAAAAACTTTTTTTTTCCTTTTGGAAAGCTCTTTGATTGATGAAAATTACATTGATCAAGTGCTGTGCCAGCAGAAACACCTATCTACTGTATTTCTATTTCTCTCTCTATCCCTCTACCTACCTACCTACCTACCTACACACTCTCTCCCTACCGTATTTCTCTATTTCTCTTTATCACTTTACCTACCTACCTACTCTCTCCATCTACTGTATTTCTCTTTTTCTATCCCTCTACCTACCTACACACTCTCTCCCTACCTATTGTATTTCTCTCTATCTACCTAACTACCTACTCTCTCCATTTACTGTATTTCTCTCTCTCCATTTTCTCTCTCTATCCCTTTATCTACCTACCTAACTACTCTCTCTCTCCCTACCTCACTACTGTATTTCTCTGTCTAGCCCTCTATCTACCTACCTACTTTTTTTAAATTTGCCTCTTCAAAACCTTGGTGTGTCTTATAATCCGGTGCGTCTTATACTCTGAAAAATATGGGTATCTTACTTAGCAATGGAAATCATGGGCTCAATTGTGGCCGTAAATCAAAGAATATCTGTAAGATGTTAGTGTTTCAGAAAAAATGAGATGTTTGGAACTTCCAACAATTCTATTTGAAGATGAACAAAAAATAGTGTACAGTACATTAAAACTCAGTTAAAAAGAAACTCATTTAAAATTTCCTTGTTCATCACCCCCACATTTATGTCTGCTTTTTATATTTTATTATTGACTAAAATATAAAGTTCTATATGACTTCTAATTATGGTTTGGATCAATGCTTTTATCTCATCATATTCCATTAACTTTTATTTTAAAAGAATGTCCAAATTCAATCACATACAATACTTACATGTTTGGGCAATTTAGAAAAGGAAGATTGTATGCAAATCAACTCAGGAAATGATCTCTGATTCATTAGCTAGCAATTTAAAGAATGGCCTAATTTCTAGCAATGAGAAAGAAAAAGAAAAAAAAAAACCTAGAGACAAACCAGAGACAATATTTACATGGAAGGACAAACACCATGTTTTACTAGCAGTATTTGGAACCTACTGTCCTTTTTTTCAATGAGTTTGGTAAGGATAATGCACTACTTTGCTTCTGACCACCAGCTGCTTGTATTTTTGTCAGCATTCCTTTGCTAAAAATAAAAACTGAAGACCAAAGACGCTTGACTGATATATTTTTCCTGGAAGTTCACAGCATAACTTCTGCTAAAGATGGCACCAGTTATCTTTATAATATCCACTATCTTTCATTACATTATCAGTGCACAAATATTCTTTTCTATTGATACCATGATCGATTATCGACTCCTTTTTTCAGATGAATCTAAGATTGAAAAAAAGTCTACAACCACATGTCTTGCTTGCTCCAGTATTTTTAAAAGGCTAATGGCCATTATTGATTCTTTGTGTAAGTAAAAAAACAGAAACCTAGGCAGAACTGGCTCTCTTAGTCTAGTCTCCCCCTTACCACTCTATTTGGAAACATAACTTTATTGAGACACAAGGAGGTCTCTTAAGGAAAAGAAGGAAGATTCTGGTTTGCTAATTGCTCTAATGTATAAACACCATTTTTCTTTAGCAAAGTAATATGACAGTCAATGGATCTGCCTATCTCTTTAAATAGTTTCAGTGCTGTGATACCAATCGTGGTCAAGTTTGATGCTTTTGTATAGCAAACTATTAGGTGGTTCCTTTTTCTAATCCTCTGTTTCCAAACAAGAAACACCCCTTTTCTTTGCCTGTCACAGTAGCTAAGATGAGGAGGAGCAAAGAGGCCCATGTCTCCACAGTCCAGTCACAATTCGAATCTCTGCTCCACCTCCTTGGCTATCATTTTTGCAATGGCAAGGGAGGAGGTAGCGGCAGGTGAAGGGGCATTCCTGACATGGAGGATTCGAGCAGCAATGTCTCCAGTTCCACTATCAAACACAAAGTCATCAATCAAGTTCCCACCACTGTCCAAGGCTTGAGCTCTGACCCCAGCAGGTCCTCTGCAAAAAGGAAAACATGTTCAATATTTCATTTGATATCCTCCCCCTCACCAAAGTGACTTAATATGAGGTAACTAAGACAATTACTGCACTATCATGGTTGGCTATTGAACAGAATAAAACTGAGTCATAGACCAATAAAAATACATCTGTAAAACAAATGAAACAAAAGTATTCCCTGACATTAATAACTGTGGCAATCATTTGTGGGCAAAACTTAACATATAAAGTAGCACAATTCTGCTACTTTTAGAGACATAAATTTATCCTGATTGCTTAATAGATAATATAGATACTTGATTTTGGCTAACAACTAAGCAGCTCATCAAGTTTGCTTCTTTAAATTCAATTTTAGGGTTTGTCCTTGGGATTTAAGTAAACAAAGGGCTGTACTCCCCCCAAAAATATGGTGTCAGATTTAAAAAAAACAATATGGGACCAGGACAAAAACTGATTTTGATAACTTTGTATTATATTAAAAACATAAAGACCTTCTTGAGAGAGATGGGTTGTCTAGAAACAAGCTGGAGAAGATTCCTGCGAGTCTCTTGCACTGCAAGGCGATTAAACTGGTCTGTCCTAGAGGAGATCAATCCTGACTGCTCTTTAGAAGGCCAGAT